GAAAAGTTTCGGATGCGATCCGCACAAAGAGGAGAAGTCAGGTCAGAACGATAAGGGAATTTAAAGAGAAACGCAGATTAAATACCCGGATCACTATTCCATCGTCGGCGTAGACCAACAAAAGGATTCTCGAGTGAGAGCTAGTCAGCTCGGACCAAGGGTTCACACAATGAATTTATTAAGGAAAGGAGAATAAATTCACTTTGAACAATCTCTCAAGAACTCGATTAAAACGGATTTGGAAGGATTGATTCGACCAAGAAATGAACGATTTAGGGTTTGCTCAATAACAAGTGAAGAACTAGGGTTTTTGTTATTAAATGATCGATGCCCTAAAATAGAGACATCTTCTCTATTTATACAAAGGATTTAGGGTTACAATAAATGCTTCTTTTCCTTAGATTTTCAGAAGATATTGTCATAAATATTCGATTAGGGTTTTCGAAACCCTAATGATCCGAGTTCGTCCATTCCATTTTAGGAATGAAGCACCCTTTGCATTAATTAGACAATAAACCGGGATTCCCTGATTTATTGGTTTAATTCGATTCCGTCTTGGTTTAGGCCGGTATGTCGTTGGTGCTAATTCCTACACCAACAATAAGTCCCCCCCCAGTTCGATGGGTCGAATGTTCATTCGAATTATGGAACTCCTAATTATGCCTGACCTAAGCTAAGAGGGAGCGAATCAAATATGACCCGAATCGTCGCGTATCTCGGAAACGTTGCCACGCGTCATTCATTTATGGAGCGGCATGTAGGTCGGAAGTTGAAGCGTCACCTAGGTCATCATTATTTTTTCGTAGGTCTGTCTCCCGCTCGCTTCTATAAATACTCGCTCAATGCCTTTCATTTTCCTCATTTCCGCTTTTCTGCTCAAAAGGTAAAATTTCGCTCTGTCCTCTCTCCTCTTTTTCCTTTAACTTATCGCCGCCGACTTTTAATTCTCCGGTCATATTTTACTACTCCGACAATGTCGAGGTCGCATTCTTCGTCTGATAGTGAGGTCGCACCACTAGTTCGCTCCAACACTCGTTCGATGCGCCGTCCTAGTAACGAGGCTTCATCATCTCGCCCCGTTCAGGCTTCTATTCCCGAGTTAACTGAAATTCCGATCCGAGATGGTAGTAATAACGCCGCAGCCGCCATGGAAACCGGAGAATCTTCTAATCCTTATCGCTCAGAGGGCGAGGATCGTTTCGCCGCACCGGGCGTTTTCTTGAACGATATCCAGCCTACTCTCGACCGCAGAGGTCAGATCGGTGGAATTCCGACCTCTAGTACTGTAAGCAGCATCAACGAGATGCTCGATGTTTGCGGTTTGGGGAGATCCAGGGTCAGTATCCTGATTCCACATAAAACTCAACACCCGTGGACTCCTCCAAAGGGATACATCTGTTTGTATGAGATGTACTTCACCCGCTACCGCCTGTGGTTTCCTCTTCCAGAACTCTTGTCTCAATACACTCATCGCCGTAAACTAGCGATCTCTCAGCTCGCTCCGGCCAGTATTTGTAACATCGTTGGAATACTGACCCTAGCGTCTGAGGTCGGTACAAGGGTTCCCGTCATGTGCTTCGAGGAGATGACGGTATTGAAGAAATCCAGGGTCGCCGGCAACTTCACCATGAACATGAGGGAGAAACAGAACGTCATTCCCGGAACTCGAGTCAGCAATTTCAAAGGCTGGGAAAAACGTTTCTTTTATGCTGAGCTGACTAACTCTCACTCGAGAATCCTTTTGTTGGTCTACGCCGACGATGGAATAGTGATCCGGGTATTTAATCTGCGTTTCTCTTTAAATTCCCTTATCGTTCTGACCTGACTTCTCCTCTTTTGTGCAGATCGCATCCAAAATTTTTCTACGTTCCCACCTGAGTACTCCGACATTGTGGCAAGCCTGTTTAGCGGGGAGAATCGAGCGTGGAACCAATTTAGCCAAAAGCGAATTGAAGAAGCGATGGGAAGGATCCCGAGAAAGTATCCAAACTTCGCAGAGGAGCTGGCCAAGTCGTCAGGTACTTCGGTAACTGCCCTCCAGGCTCAGGACGCGGAGCTTGCTGCACCAACAACAACGGCTATGGAGGTCGCCGTAGTTGAATCGGCTACCGGAGGAGAGGTCGCCCCTACAGATCCTCTGATCGTGGACCTGGAAGTCAGCGGTGGTGACGAGGTCGAGGTTCCCGGGCAGGAGGTCGTAGCCGCCGAGCAAGAGGTCGCTCTGTCCAAAGGAGACGCGGCCGGGAGGAACAAAAAGAAGAAGAGAGTCGACAAAGGCAAGGGCGTGGCTCTGTACTCCGGCAACCAATCTAGCCGTAAGAGGTCGGCCGAAGCAGCTGATCTAGAGTCTTCTGATCCTTTCCGATTAACTCGGAAGGATTCGAAGACAGAAAAATTCTGCTTCGACTACTTCGGAAAAAGCTCCGTGGCCGGCGACCGTTATGCCTCGGCAGAATTATGCCGAAATTTGAAATTTTCTTCAGAAATTCTGCCCGATCTCGACGCGCTGGAGTTCAAGGAGGACTATCTGAACTATACCCGATCCGCGTTGCTGGTTTGTTTATCATTCCCTGATACTTGTCCTTTATATTTTGTGCATATTTTAACACCGTTTTGTCCTTCCTCTAGTCGATCGCCTATGGCAACGCTCTCTTCTTCAAATATGAAAAGAGGGTGAAGTCGCATTCAACGGCGAATCATGCCTTTTTGATGATGGAGAAATGCGTCAAAGAGGCCCAGGACAAAGTGGCCATGCTGCGGAAGCAAATGGGAGGCTTGGAGGAACAGGCCAAGGTTCACGAGGGAGTTGTCGCTTCCTTAGAGGATACAATTGCCGGCCTGCGGGCCGAGAATGCGACTCTTGCTGCTGAGAAGGCGAAAGCCGAAGGCGACCTTCAGTCCCTTTAGCAATTTTGCGACTCCGAATGCTGGCGACTTCGCTTAGATCGGCAGGCTGTGGTCGAGCGAACAAGGAAGAAGGCACAAGAGCGCCTGGATCGGGTGAAGGCGTTCTTGGCCGAGCAAGAGGTCGCCGTACGTCCGAAGGAAGATCTGCTGAACCAGGCCCTTGGGGTTGAGGCCACGATCGACAGGCTCGTCAAGGAGTGCCATGTTCAAATTCCCGAGGAGGAGATCGCCAAGATTAAGGCGAAGAAGGTCGAATGCCAAGAGGTTGCTGATGCTTTAAACTACCTCGTTCTGGAACCGGCCGACCTGAACATGTCTCCGGACCAGCTCGGCTACGGCCTCCTTTGTCCTGAGGATCCCGCTCCCAGTTCGATCCGAGACCCGCATGGGTCAAATGCGGTAGCCTTCCAAGCCGACCTCCGGTCCTCCGATGGCAACGGCGATCCTCCTTCCGAGATGGGTAATCCTGAAGACAATGTGAATGTCGTCTGAGTTATCTAGCTTTTATTTTTATTTGTTTTCTCTTTTGTTTGAACTTAGATGGGCCGCGAGCTCGGCTTTTTCCTTCTTATTTTGCTTCTTATTTTCCTTATTCGCCGAAATGGAAATATGCTTCTTTTCTAGCTTGAAATTGGTGATTTTCCTATATAATGTTGCCCCAATTGCCAGTTTTACTCCGGTAAAAGGCGGGGGTGCTAGGTATAAATAGGCTGCTTGGCCGGTGGTTTTCCAAGACATCCTTAGTTTAAACTTGTGCCCTCATTTTCTTATAACTGGTGTCATGGAGAAATCTGGTTCGACTAAAAGCGATGGATCATCTCCGTCCGCCGGTGTTGATACGCCAACTTTTACAGAGAAAGAAGCGCTTGATCGTGGGATGCCCTTGTTCCCGACGTTAAAGGTTCCTAAAACTTTGATGTCGCGAGTTACTCGACAAGAGAAACTCCGGTTAGAGGAGTTTTTCCAGGCTGTGTATGATAAACATACGCAGTACTTTAAACAATTCCTCATTGTTGATGAGATCAGATCGGCCTTCGATCATAAGTTGAAACTGCTGGAATCTCACCCGAGAAACTGGATTCCCTTTGGGTTTGGGCGCATAGCTCCGATGCTGACAAGCCTTTACGCCTACTTCGAGTAATGTATGCGGGATGTTGAAGCTAACCGGAATGCACCACCCATCCTAGGGATCCCACGATGCCTCGAATTTACACCGTCGGGTGTGAAGGCATTTCTCATAGGCACCTTGGCCAGTAAAGCCGAATCAGATGAGGCCGAGGCGTTTGTTAAGAAGGTATCGGTACCGTTCCGTTCATGCGAACATTGGTATCCTATTTTTGGGGGATCTAAACAACTGTCTTTTTTTTTTGTTAGGTCGGGGGCCTTTATCAAGAACAGTGCAGGGATCTGCAATTCTTTCGTCTGAAGAAAAGAAAGATCGACATCCGTTTGGACGAGTTGGAAGAAGAAGTCGCCAGGCTAAAATCGAAAAGAAGGAAAGCGATTCTCAGGCTCGACGAGGCGGAGCAGAAGGCTCGGGCATTGGAGACGGATCCAACTGATTGGGAGCGAACTGGTATGCAGCTGCTTTGGCCAATGCCGAGTCGCCTTCTGCATGACACGCGTCAGGTCGCCGCTATTGGGGCGAAGGGTCCATTGATCGTGGACTAGGCGATTTGTGCTTTTTACTTTATGATTATTTGCCGATGTAATTTTATTTTGTCGTAATGCTATTGAACCGTCGCATCCGATTTCGAATAATACGAGCCATGTTTCTAGGCGTTTTAATTTAAGTGGGGATTTCATGACTTGGCGGGACGTCTCCCGGCTTACAATTTCATGATTCACCACAGTTTAAATATATTTGGAGATATCTCTGGGCTCCGAAGTGAGGAATTTCTTTCCTCGAGTAGATTGTACTTTGTCGGAGGGCGAGATATATCTTTGGACTCGGCTTACCTCCTTTGGTGCCGGTTCGGACATGGGCTGCGAAAGATTGACTTCTCTGGGTCGGCTGACTATCCCATCCGAACACGGGACCTTTAGGTGCGGAACATTAATCTCTGGGTTCGGCTTACTCCTAAACTTAAGGATTGTGCGTTTGACGCGTGCCGATCACCTGGCCAGGGTGTCGGGGATGCATACGTATGTATGTATACATGTATAGTTTTTTTTTTTTTTTTTTTTTCGCGAAAAATGACATGACAATGCGTGAACGCTGCGAAAGAGTGATTTGACGGGTCGTCGCTCTGGGTGATTTGGAGATTCGCGAACGCTTTGTCAAAATTGACCTAGAGATGCGTGCCCCTTTAGTGTGTGGTCATTCGGAAGAAGTTTGTTGGGGAATGGCTGGCATTCACTGCGGTTTCTGGCTATTAATATCCCGCTTTTGTCATCCATTTTATTATCACCCAGCGATTTCTTCAATGGCCGGATCTTCCAGAGGGATTGCTGCCGATCCCTTTCTCCGCGGAGGTCGCCGTCTGATAGAACAGCTTGATGAAGACGAGACCAAGGCGGAGGTTTACAAGGCCCGTATTTGCAGGCTAAGCATGCACATCCGGTCACTTTGGGAGCGTCAAGGTCCTAAGGCCGACCTCGTGCGATATCTCGGGGTGAGGATTTCATAGAGAAATCCGTTTTGAATCATGGCCTCAACGATATCCTTCGAGAACGTGCGCTGTCATCGGGTCAGTTCTACCACCTACACTCCACTCTTGAACGTATCAAGGTCTCGTGGCTTCAAGAAGGAGATCTTGATTCGTTTGATGGGCCTCTCGTTGCAAGCCGGATGCGTCGCGAGGAACTGGAGGGATATCGCGCTCGCATTGCTTGGTTGTGCGACTATATCGTCGCGTTCAATAGCGCAGCCGAAGTCGTTTATCAGAGGGTTCGTGCGGAAGGTGTTGAGAGTTTTCTTCTGCTGATGGTTTCCGAGGGGGTGCCGATCAAAAGAAAGATCCTCAAACTAGTGAGGCAGGCAAGTTCCTTGTGGGCCGAAGAGGAGGCTAAGTATCCTCTTCCGCAGTTGCACGACGGCGACACCGACCTGTTTCCCAAATTTATCGATTTGGGGGGCTAAGTGGGTCGCTTTAGCTAGTGGCCATTATGAGTTTCTTTTTTGTTTTTGTCAAAGAGTGTATTTTGCTTGTAACAAACTTTTATTGAAAAAAACGGGATCGTTAACGACAATCGCGCGTTCATTCATTATTATTATTATTATTATTATTTTTTTTTTTGTTAGCTGCACCATATATCATGGTTGCCTACGTACCTCTTTCGAGTATCAAGCCAATCGTAGTTCACAGTACATCAAATGAAAGACTCGGATTCCCGAGTGAGGCATCCATCTACCTTTGTGGTCGGATTCCCGACCTAATAGTAGAACCTTTTGAGGTGGGCCGCGTTCCAGAAGTGTTGCACTCACTGCCCTTCCATGGTCGATAGTTCATAGATGCCTGGGTGAACTCGCCGTGCGACGATATAGGGGCCCTCCCATCTTGCTCCGAGCTTGCCGGCGTTGAGCTCTTTGGTGTTTTCGAAAACTTCTCGCAGAACTAGGTCGCCCTCATTTAAACGGCGTTCCCGGACGGTCTTATTATAATACTTTGCTGCCGAGTTCTGGTAGTTTTGTATACGGATCATCGCTTGATCTAGTAATTCCTCACTCCAATCGAGGTGATCGTAGAGCCGAGCTTCGTTTAACTCCGGGTGCGCGATCATCATTGTTCGCCGGAGCGTCGGTATTCCGACCTCCGAAGGCGCCATTGCCTCAACACCGTAAGCCAAGGCGAACGGCGAAAATCCGGTTGCGCGTCGCGGAGTTGTGCGATGCGACCATAATACTCCGTCGAGTTCGTCGGCCCATAGTCCCTTTTTCCGACCTAACCTTTTCTTGATGCCGTCGAGGATAGTTTTGTTGGTAGCCTCGGCCTGGCCGTTTCCTTGAGGGTATCGCGGGGTTGACGTACTGAGTTTGATGTGCCATTTTCTGAAGAACCGATTCGTTAGGTAGGAAGTGAATTGGGATCCGTTATCCGTGACGATCTCATAGGGAATACCGTGTCGGCAGATAATGTACTTCCAGATGAATCCGGTTACGTCGCCCGACTTGACCTGATTGAATGATTCCGCCTCCACCCATTTGGTGAAAAAGTCGTTGAGCACTAGCAAAAATCTTTTAGTGCGGCAAGGAGGAAACGGTCCGACGATGTCCATGGCCCATCGCATTAAAGGGTATGGTGCTGTCACGGGAGAGAGCGCTTCGGGAGGTACGTGTTTTAAGGTGGCGTGCCTTTGACAAGCTTCGCACTTTTGGGCGAATGCCTCGCAGTCGGCGAGCATAGTTGGCAAAAAATGGCCGTCTTTCTTTATTTTTAGGGCCAACGCGCGTCCTCCTGAATGGTTCCCGGCGTCGCCTTCGTGGACCTCGCCCATAATTCTTTCGCTTTCGTCTCGATCGACGCAAGTAAGGAAGGTTCCATTGGAACTTCTCCGGAGAAGTTCTCCATCGGCCAGAATGTAATTGGCGCATCGGGCTTTTAACCGTCGAGCTTGCCACCGGTTTTCAGGGACTTGACCGCTTTGTATGTAGAGTTTGATCTCTTCCCGCCAATCGACCGGGGGGGCTTCCTCGTCGTGAGGCTCGTTCTCAACTGGGTCGATCTCCATTTGGATCAGGTCGTTCATGATGATGTTGATCTCATGAGGTTGAGCGAAGCTCGGTAGATCGATACTTTCGATGGGGATGGATCGGCGGAGGTCCGGATTCGCATTCGAAGCTAAGGCGGCGAGGGCGTCGGCCGAAGTGTTGTCGCAACGTGGAATTTTTGTGAGGGAAAAGCTATCAAATTCGGCCGAGGCGGATCGGACTAACGCCAGATAAGAACTCATCCGCTCGTTCTTGGTGTCGAATTCTCCGCTAAATTGGCTTACGACCAGTTGTGAATCGCAAAATAGCTGGATATGTTTTATTCCGATGCCCCTAGCAAGTCGTATTCCCGCGAGCAGAGCTTCGTACTCGGCCTCGTTATTGGATGCTTTGAAACCGAGTTTCAACGATTGTTCCAAAACCTCGCCTGTTGGTGATCGCAAGAGAATTCCTACTACGGATCCTTGGTTGCAAGAAGATCCGTCAACATAGAGGGTCCAGCTTTCGATTTTTGATGCGTCCTCCACGAGTTCTGGGGCGAGCTCGACGATAAAGTCCGCTAAAACCTGCGATTTCAGACTAGGGCGAGAGCGGTACTCAATATCGTATTTGCTTAGTTCGATGGCCCATTTAGCCATTCTTCCTGATTGCATGGGGCTGTGCAGCACTGTCCGAAGTGGTTGATCGGTATAGATGACGATCGCGTGTTATTGGAAATACGGACGCAACTTCCGGGCGGCGACGATGACGGCCAAAGCAAACTTCTCTAATGTTGGGTAGCGTGTTTCGGCATCGTTCAAGGATTTGCTGACGTAGAGAACAGGCCTCTGATCACCGCGAT